GTATGAGACATGTACTATTATTACACCCCTTTTAAAGATTAGGAGATTAAGTAATTTGCCCAAGGTTGCAGGGTTAGTAGAAGATGGAACCAGAATTCAGATTTCAACCCAGATCTTTAAATAGCATGCTAGTGATTTTGTTTTTACCCTATACCTTACACTGCCATCTGTTAAAACAAAACACACAAACTGATATGTAATCAAATAAAATGTATTAAGTAGAAATATAATACTGCATGAAAATTGAGAATTACACAAATGCTGTCTTTGTCTTTAAAGGCTTTCAAGTTTATTGTTTATTTTAGCTCTTGGTGTGGCAAGAAAACAGAACGACAACATATTGTGCAACAAACTAAATAAAGGAACCTGCACAGATAGCTGTTTAATAGCAATAAGAAAGAATATAAATATTATCAACATCATCAAAAGAAATACTGTAGTCCTCAGAAACGTGCCTATGGGTTGCTAAACATTACCAGTTTCATACTTTGAGAGGGGATTCTGCCGATTTTATTGTTATCCTAAATAAAGTCCTTCATGCCATTTCTATTCCAGTCATAGCCATATGAAGTGAGCAGTTCTAAACAATAACAAAGATCTCACACCCTAACAGATGGATATTTCTTCACACTTCATGATCATTTGCCACTTACAAATCAATAAAGCCATTTCATGTCTCAGGATCTCACATACTCCATTGATAACCCTCTTACAAGAGAAAGGTGGAGGGTCCATCTCAACTCACAGAATAATTCGTGTGGTTTGAAAGTCTTAGTTCTACACAAACATAAATTGAGAAAAAAAATATTTTTATCACTAATTTTTAAGTGGTTTACAGATTCAGAAGCAGAAATAAATGATTACATAGATGGAAGTTTTGGTAAAAGTGACCATTATTTTTAATGTTGCTCATAGAATATAGACATTTAATGGAGTGTACACTATAGAAGTGATAGAAAATTACATCTTGCTCCACTATGCATATAAGTAGAGACTAAATACTGAGCATGTGCACTAAGACACAACATCTGCCTGTGGTCTGGGACCCAGAACAACATGGAAGAGAAACTGACATGTTCAGTCAGCACAAGGCCTCACCGTGCTATGTGGATGCTACAGTGAATTCAGAGGTCCCATCACAGGGAGTAGAGTCAATGGAATTCTGACAGCTATTATATATATGATGTCAGAGGGGTAATAGATTGGAGGAGGGGGTTATCATGTTGTGAGGGGTGTAAATGTGTAATTATTACATTGTTTTGTACACCTGACACTAATAAAAAAAATCTGAAAACATTTATCCATAAAGATTAAAACAAAAAAAAAAAGAAGTCCCAGGACTGCTGGAGTGCTGCAGGTCTGAGTTAAAGGAATTTCGGGACAGCACATTCACCTGAGATTATTGAAACCATCCTGGTGCAGCTTCAGTTCCAAAAACAAAAACATTTCAGAAATAATGAAATTCCAAGGGACTTCCTTTCATGCAGAGGGCAGAAGTGGTATAGTTTAGCCTATTGGTACATAGAGATTTAGAGCATATTTATTGTCAGTGTGACAGGACTCTGCTTTTCACTTTTGAAAGTTCATTTCTCTATATATTATTGTATATTATTGGGTCTTTATGAAAATGACATGGCGTTAAATAGTGGGTTTTCATAAAAATTTAGGTAGCATTTAGAATGTTTTTGTTTTATACTTCAGAATGGCCAGATATTCTCCATTTCTTCCCAGAGATTTTGGAAAAAGAATTTTAAGGGAGCGAGGAGCTGAACTATGGTTTTTGACTTTTAAACTTAGGGTAAATTGGGAATTTTCATTATTATATTTAAAGGCCTTAAATTGCAGCACAAGCTACTAATCAGTCTCTATAAATGTGAACTTCATGAAAAGAAACTCAGAAATTAATAATTTGAACCAAGCTTAAACAGGTTGTTTGAAGATAAATCATTTTTAAAGGTTATTGAGATGAAAGGTTTCTTAGGTTAAACTCCCCAAGAACAAAGATGAAAAAAACCAAGGTACACTTATCAGTAAGAGTAGAGGTCTCCTATTAGAGCCGTATATTCCCATTTAGACATGAGCTATTAATACATATTGACAAGAAGAATAGTAACAGATATTATTTTTAAACATAGTCTCAAGTAATAATAGGTCATGGATAAAATTCCCGAACCGGTGTGTCATCCTGGACCTAGAAGAAGGTTTTATGACCCTAACCATGACATCCTTTTACCTCCTCTCATTCCTCTCCAATAAAATCAATTTCCTCTTTCCAAATATCAAACATATGGTCATATTCCCTTAGGAATATCCATCTTAAGTACCTAAAAGTTGAGGGAAGATGAATTTCCTCCACAAATTGATACCACATTCCAAAGCTACTTTGGTTGGCACACTGTACAAGATTAGGCGGTAAGAGTTATCTGGGGGCTCATGTTGGAGTTGGACAGTGTGCTAAATGGATCGTGACATACTGCAACCATATGTCACGTGGATGTGGATTTAAAAGACCTCCCTCCAAATTATCTCCTGTTGTTTTTAAAAGAAATTTGTTTTATTTTTCATTTTTTCAAGTGTCATCTTGGTTACAAACTCTTCTAAAGTTTCTATTATTGAGAAAACATTCTCAAAATTTAAAACACAAAATTAAAATTTTCCACTCTAATATGATTAAAAGAAGCTCCATATGAGAAAAAAATTAAATATAGTTACCAAAAAAAATAATGATAAGGAAGAACTATTGATAAAAGGAAACTAGACAAATCAATAGTTTCACTCTTTCTTGAACTAGTTTAAAACAGTAAAGCACTCCTGCACCTATTCACGACGTATTCACGACGTTGGAAGAGCAACTTACACCACAAAGGTCTGCATTGGAACTGAGACTTTGTTACATGTATTTGTATGAGCACCAAGAAGTGGTTTCCATGGGTTTTTACACTGAGTGAATTATTTTATACAAAGTTTATCAATCAATTTTTATTTTGGAAAGCTGCTGATGCTATTTTTCTTGATTAATTATGTTTAGATCTGTGGCATTAAATTCAATTTCGTGAGGATCACTGACAGGATGTTTACAATAACATGTTCATTAAAAAACCGGCAATTGAGAAATAACTTGGGAAATACTTAATTTTGTAGTGAAATACTTATATTGTAGACATGGTACTTTTAAAACTTGTCATTAAGTATTTGGCATGCACTTAACACTTTCCCTTTAGTCACGATTGGTATGTTAATAAATGTTATAAACAAGTGCTGAGCTATGCATTACTAATTGTTCTATAAAATTTAATTATCTTAATTCTCCTTCATGTTCCTAAAGTCATAAAGTATAAATTATAACTGTCAATATTTTTACTTTTATAATTATGAATCGTACACAATGTCAGAATTTTGAGAAGTGGAAAGTCCAAACAGGACTATTATGAATTTAAGTTATTTTAGGATTATTTTATCTAGTATATGATAACTACTTTCAGCCAAGATTTGAAAATATAAAGAAGTAATTTTTGTAGTTTATGTAAATAGTTAATATAAAATTTGTATCTATTGTTTAACGTCTTTGTGTCTTCAAAATTCTTGCAAACCTAATACCTTTCCTTTGGAAGGAATTTAAAAATATTTTAGATCTAATTCTCTCCCTTTTACTCTTATTCTCTCTGGTGTTATTACTCAATACATCACTCCATGCAAATTCTTGCTAGAATTGTAGCTACTTGCGATGAAAATTACTCATTTTAAACATCAAGAGCTCTTTAGTATAATTCTTTAGTTTCTTAAGAAATCTTGATTTACAGTGATTTGTGAACATGTGTTTTGTCACTTAGGTTTCTAGCAATTGGAGTTTTTAACCACTACTTAGGCTAGTATTCAAATGTGTTCCCTCTCTTGTTTTTTTTTTTAAATTTTAAAATGTAAATAAAACAAATACACATAGGGAAAATTTCCTTTTCTCCAAAATAACCTCTGGTATTAATATACCACATACCTTTAAAAAAATTCACATAGTTGAGATCGTATTCCACTTGCTGTTATAAAATTACCCCTTTCCCTTAATATATCCTGGTGATACTTCTAGATAAATCCAAATTACTTACTTCATTATTTTTAGAGTTTGCATAGTATGCCATTGTATCAAAGTACAATGATTTGTGTAACAATTGGTGAATATTTAAGTTTTTCCAATCTTTATTATGGGCTACATTAAGTGAGCATTCTCATAGAATATTATGTGTTGGCTCAATTTTGCACATATATTTGTCATTTCTCT